CTGAAGCTGTCGTTGCTAACGCTCCATTTCAAGTACGACGGCTACTGGCGTTCTTAATTAGAAGTTGTGAGTTGACCTGCCCCTATGATCGACGGTTGAAGTACAGAAATGATATGTCGGAAGACTACCGAAATCAACTACAGCTGCAAAATGTCAATGTTCCCATGGACTTCAATGCGGACAACAACATGTAAGGAAGCCCAAGGCGAAGCCGGGCTTCCGCGCTAGTTAGTAAATAAAATAACAAAAGGAAAGGTCAAATAGCTTAGACTTTATAAGTAATTTTCTTTGGGTAAACAACCAGACCTTCATAGCGGCTGCACAGCGAATAGCGATCAATAACCGGAAAGCATATTAGGAAATCGCAGTTTTCTGCTTATTTGCTATTGTCGACCAGCCAGTCCTTACCCGTCGCCCTGATCTGATATTTGAAGCTGGCTAAGATGATCATTGAGCTTAAGGTTGTATAAGACGATCCATGGGCGTACTTCCTCAACTATGATCGAAGACAGCATGAGTCAGGTGAAAAGAATATAGAATACACTTTGCCGCACTTTACTGCCAAGTAGTTCAAATGTAATCAGTGTAAGACCCAACGGCGAGTAAGTAATTCCATTTTTACACATTTTTACTGATAAGTTGCGAAAGTAGAAAAGGCGTCAATACTTTTATGTGCTAAATATATTTCTAAGTAGCAGGGTAAGGACTTGGGTTGACAGATATACATTTCAAAAGTTCCGTTATGCCCACCGAAGTCGTTGTTATGATGATATATTTAATGCCAAAGTCTGTCACGGTGGCCACGCCGTTAAACGTCTACATATTATTTGCGCACGTACTGTCCATTCGCACTAAGGCTATCAAAAATTATCTCACATTCCGAAAGGTTATGCCTATTTAACGGTAAACAGGCGGACAAAAATGATTTTCGTTATAATGTAAGTTCCATCGCACATAGGATATTAGTACGATTTGCCTTCATTATTATTTTACTTTAATACTTACATCTTCCTGGACTTTCCCACGTTCAGCCGCGGACCATGATATGTTAGGAGAATAGGTCTGTATTGAGGCGCTACCGAAGTCACAAAGCTTGATTGTGTAGATATCAGAAAGTAGCAGGTTTTCGACCTTTAAATCCCTGTGGATGATTGGAGGAGACTGCTTATGCATATGCTGAACAGCCCGGCTTGCCTGGTACAGAACTTGAAGGACAACATCTGGCGCAAGCGGTGGCTGATGATGGGGTGTCGGTAAGTAATCGGGGAGAGATCCACCTATGAAGAAAGACAAGTTGGTCAAGCTTGAGCTCTGAAGAGCCGAAAAATTGTGAAAAAGTGCCTCTTTCGTTAGACCAGCATGTTCCGAAAAAAACATAATACCAAAAGCGTGAGGCGGGTGGGAGGTGAGGAAGTCA